TATATACCGTATGTTAATCTTTCGTGCCAGCTTGACCTGTTCGTTCTACTTCAGATATTACTAGTGCGCGAAACCTTATCGTCCTAAATTCTCGTATGTACCGCAGCTCTTGTTTTTCGCGACAGCTATATTTGCGCGTGCCAAGATTGTGCGTACTAATAAAATGACGTATATTATGAAAGTAGCGTTTTGGAGCAGATGCATGTGGATAATTGCATTAATTTTTACATGATTTTTTAATGATGATAAATTAAAAAAATATAATAGTATAATATTGAATAATTTTTATAATAAAATAAAAAATATATATAAAAATTTTGCAAATCGACGGATACAATTTGAACTTTTTTGAACTCATTATATTATAATTTTCTGAAGGATAAAAGAAACCTAACATTCGCGTGTGTAAATAATTAAGTAATTCCGGATTTCTGAAATGAAGCAAAGTCGAGTTTTATGACATCATACATAATTGCTGTGTATAATTAACTGATTCATTTTCTTGCAAAATATCTTCCTCCTTATATTGAATATGTTTCTGAAATGTTGGAATAAAAAAGATGCGAGAAAGACACCTGGGCAAAGTAATTTTTTTTATTAAGTACTTACCGTACATGACAGGTGCAGTTTCAACTGGAAATATCGGGCGCATTTGCCGCGGAGACAAAGAGAAAGAACTTGGTCGGGCTCCATCGATGGCCAACTGTTTATCAACCACAGTTCCTGTCAATCTGGCAGCTTCTCAAATAGCGGGTCGACACACGCCCACGAGAAATTCTTTGAGGCACAGCAGAATGATCGTAATGCATCGGACCGGTCATCGTGAGTACACAATCACTTCTTACCTGAGCTTTGTATCTTTCTAATCACAGTGTTAACGATAGGCATGACAAAATTATTTAAATTCTTTAAATTTATATTTCTACTTCTCGTCTCACAGACTTCAACAGTCGATTTTTTTAAACATTTTAAAAAAGTAATTATATATCCTGCACGCATCGTATTGTGTAACAAGCGATTGCACTTAGCCATGTCATTTTGTGACTTCTAAATAGTAGAACGTGATAATTCTATCGTTCGTTATTATAAGTACGCATTGATGACGAAAAAAATTACAAGAATTTAAGAATCTAAGCGAACGTTTCGAAATATACATATAATATCTAAGAACGCATGCAATCAGCAAATTACCGATGAGAAGCAATGGCATTCTCTGCGCTCTTCTTGATCGATCTTATGAAATTGTGTGTGTACGATTATTAATTTTTTGACGGCTATGCGATCGATTTCTCTCGAAGATAAGATCGCGCGCTCGCGAATTGCTTCTCCGGTTGCGGAATGCGACCAGCCCGGTACAATTTGATTTTCTCGATTTCTTTTAATAATCTCGTTGCTTCGCACGCGACACATTATGATGTTGCCATATAATTCTACGTACGCTAATGAACGCGACTATCACTCTTAGCCGCCGGCCGGTTGCTTAGCAGGATTGAGATTGATGCCAAGGCAGACAGGAAGATTATAATTAGTATCGCCATGGATTGCAAGAAAGTGCAACGACTTTTTATCATCGTGATAATTAGATAGAATCAAATGCATGAGTAAAGATAGTTAATGAAAGGAGTTAAAGATGATGAAAATGCAATGTGGGAAAAAATGGGAGTTTGTTTTAAAGAAGATGGACATAAAATTGGGATTCATACCTGTGTAATTAAATAAGAAATATATTTAAAGAATATTTAATATATAAAAGAATTTTAATTAAAGAATGTTTAATGTATAAAAAATATCAAACATATATAATATATTCTTTATAAAAAGAATATTATAACATTAACAAGATTTTAAAGGTTCTATTAAAATTCACTAAAATTTCATTAAAAATTCCATTTTTATCACAACCGATTTAAAATTCAATTATCATATTACTGTTCTTATAATTTATCCAATATTTTTTATTAAAATTGTATGTAAAATTATTTTGCCTAAAATTTTTTGTGTGTACGCGTGTGTGTGTCTAGAGAATTATTTTAATGCAAGTGTTGTATTATGCAATTTTTGTTTGAAAAAAATAAAAAAAATGCAATTTATTTGAAGAATTCAGTCGAAGAAATACAGAATTTTATTATAGATTCTGCTAACTACTCTATCGTTCATTTAGAAAAAGAATTCTTGTTTTCTTCAATTACTCTCGCGTATATGTATTTCACTGATGTGAGTTTTAAACGTTTCGTGCTCCGCTGGCCACAGAACATAAAGTGGATGCACATGGTTCTCCGCAGATAGCGGAAGTATCAGACCGGAAATATATCGCGTGATCTTTTTGGTACGTATTCAGAATGCGTAGTCTCATTTTGGCGCAAAAAATTCATTGTACTTTTTAATACTCGTCTCGCTTTGTACACACTGAAATTAATTATCATAACGTAATTCCATTATACTTGCAAAATCGTAACTATTTCTTGATTACAATAGACGAAAATTATTTCACAGGAAATATACTTTTGAGCAGCTAAACTTTCTTATCAGAAAACATTATATCGAATAGAATTATAAATCTTCATTATTTAAAAAATCTGAAGATCAGCAATAAATATTTAAACATTCATATCTATATAAACTGTTAGTCTCTATAGTAATGTTATTTGATCTTATAATTAATATTGGAATATTAATTAAAGCAAAAAAAAATGATTATGTAAGCGATAAGTACTATTTCCATATTTTTTTGAAAATAAGCAACACAGCGCGAGTACGAAGGCTCGAAATTGATGATGTATATACATACCGTGATCCGTTCCGCTGTTCAAGGGCTTAGCATATACGTAGCCCTAATTCTATTTCAGGACTTACAAGCCGACCCGTTATTCTTACGCCCAATTTCGGCGCCCTTACATATGTAATCCTCGTTTGGCTTTCATCCAAAAATATCCGGCCAGTAATCAAACAATCGTAATATTGAAAATAAATGAGTTTCAAACATACATACTTATGATAATTTGAGCGAACAAATAATACGCAACGCTTATATATGTATACACTTATATATACAACAAATATTAATCAATTAAAATGTAATTTTTACGGTGTAAAAATTATTTATATACAAAATTTTTATATTATAAATTTCTTGCTCATGGCAACGCGACAGAAAATATTTGTTGAATATATCAATCTAGAAGTTAATTGCAACATCTTACAACCGCGTTAGTTAACAAAATTACAGTGCAATTACTTAATTAATGACCTGCAGTCATGCCTTCTTACGCAAGTTACATCGTGAGCATTCATGCATTGGGGACAACGGATGATGAAAACGTACCACCCAGTATGCGTATATTATATGTGGGCCGCACATTTTGCGGCAAATTTGCCGGCCGTGACGACGCGATGTATGAGACAAGGACCGACGTTGCTCATTGTTATCTCATACATATAATGTGCATTCACGTTTATATTCACATAAATCGACCCATTTACGTAGTCGACGTGACAGGTACCTGATGTGAACGAAGACAAATTACAGATAGTTTGGAATTTACACGGTGAATGGATTGCAATATACGAGTCATTGTTAAATAATATCGGCTTTAAATTCCGTTTTGATTTTAATAATTGCACCGGACGAGTCTAATTTTCAACTTCCGTAATTTTAATAATAAACGTAGCATGCTTTTTAACTTCTAAATTTGGCAATTATTTTCACAATGTTTATCTATTGTTATCTTGGGTCACATGTCAAGTAAGTATAAATTTCTGAGCTGCTGAGTATTAGTAGCGATATATCATACTAGCGATATATCATTGATAAATGGATATTAAATTAAAGGTGATAAGTGCGTACGTGATTCATTCCGTTGGTTGTGTCGTCGTTTGACCTCTTGATATAACTCTTTCTTCCTTTATACCCGCACCGGTATATCCTCGTATTGTGCAATAAGTACGGCGTACATATGGCGAAGCAATACAATACGAACAACGCGTATTCATGTCCTGCATTCCCGCACCGTGCGAATCGCTCCTCAAAAGAGCAGCAATATCTGCTACTTGACAACTGCAGTAGTCGTCCGATCACATCAAAAAGAGTCCTGTTTTTTAGAGAAGGAACAGTCTGCAATTTTATGTTACCTTAAGATAATTACGTGAAAATCGAGATTATGTTCGCTTTTTAATCGACCTTTCTACAATGTGCGGACGTTTATATTCTGCAGTTGCAGTTTGCATCGTTCGCCAGTTATAGCACGTACCTGCGGTACAGTTAGAGACATAATCCTCACATAGCAGATGCGCGCATTACGTTTCCGTGTGTGAAAATTGTTTTTCTCTTCCGTAGCGAGCACGTATCGTATCTTCTACGAATTGTCGAGCGATGTCGTGAGATATTAAAATTCTGCATGCGTATTGCGCTGCAAAAGAATTTCTCTTTTATACGTGCGTGACGTAAAATGCATCCATGATCAATCTCTGCGTAAACATTAATAGTAAAAATTGCCCTATGTTTAAGAATACTGATTTTAGGATAGAATTTTTAAGAGTTTTTGATTGTAAAAGTTGATTGTATTTAATATCTCTAGCAACATTGATTATTGACTGATGTACTATATTGACTGATTTATGCTCTAACAACAATATTAAAAAATGTCAGGCAATAGTGTAAAAAAGAGTTGCCTTAATTTGAATTACCTTAATAAGAATTTTATTTTAATTAAACAATGAAATGCTAGTTTGTCTCTTTAAATGATTTAAATTTTCTATAGATTAAAATTTCTTTAGTCTCACATATATATATGCTTCATAATTTTTAAGAACTATAAGAATAATTTATATTGTAACAATAATAAAAAAAAAAAAATTTTAATCTTCAATAATGAAATATGTCAATATATTGTAAATTGTTACAATATCGCGTAAAGAAAAAGACGTTTTTAAATATTATTGTCAAAAATTAGTCGATATAACAATCGATTAATGTTGCTAGATATATTAAATATGAGTTTCTATTTCTTGACAATCTTATCTTAAAAACTTTCGCCAGTTATAGCTTTTTTAAACATGAAAGAACAAGTACATTATAAAATATGACAAGCAATTTTATTTTCCAAGAATCTTTATCTTGAAATCTACTTTTTTAAACGTAGGGGGATAAGATTTACATATCTATTAGATATATCGTCTAGATTTTTCCTTGCTATCATCTTTCTCGGTTTAAAGTGTGCCGCGACACTAAAACAGTTGAGAAACACTGACTTGGGCTCATAGAGAATAATTATCTCAGGTACGTATATGAGTTTCCACATACACGATTATAGAGTTACCACATTATACATACATTAAAACTAAAGAGATTTATAATTTATAAATATGTTTTTAAATATGTAACATGTAATATGTTTGTATTCTATTATCTAATCTTATATTTAATTCTAAACTATTAAACAAAATAATAAATAATAAGAAAAATCAGAATTAATAATGTACTTCTTTTCTTGAATTTATAGTTAATGGTTGAGAAATTTCTTGTTTTTTTCTTTTTTTTTTTCATTTTTTTCTAATTAATTTTGTCTAATTTGTAGCTTGACTTTGAATATATTAATTAGTTTATATCTGACTACAGTACAAGTTTGCATACTATACTTCCTCAATCAAGTATTCAGCACAGCGTATCCAGTAAACATAGTGTCCCTTCACTCTTGCGGTTTTTCAATGGCGGTCAAAGTACTCATTTCTTCCTCACATTAACGTTTCATAGTCTGTTCTCAATAGTATAAATACACTGTAATCGTTGTTTCTATTGCTTAATCTATAAATATTGATCTATCATTTACGAGGAAATCCGCTTTTATTATTACGCTTTTTTTATTTACGGAAAATTTTATAGTCCAGTGAGAAACTCATTTTGAATCGATTCTTGCAACGTTCATTTGTAATTTTTGAATATCAATCATATAATCCTAAATTTTTTTACATTACAAGGAATTTTTTATTTGAAAAGGAAGGAAAAATAGTTCGAGTAACTTATAATTTAGTTATATATGGCGATGAACACATTAGATGTTATTGTATCAGACATTAACTCAATGCGTTGTACATTAATGCATTTTTTAAATTATTTCTAATTATATCTATGTGTATTTCTTAATCTTACATATGTGAAGTTCTGCAAAAAGACATTACTTATTTTATAATCATGCTTTTTTCTTATAACTTTTTTCTTATATATACATAGAATTATATATACGTAGAATTAGTTTTTCAAGTTAGTTCCCGCGTCCGTTCGATATGTCAAAAAAAAAAAATGTTTATATACACACATATAGGGAATTTTTTTTAATATTTAAAAAAATTTAAAGGGATATAGCATATATGTTATTTAGTAGCACTATATTTTTATAATTAACTGTATAGTTTTTCTCTTTACTGTATAGTTTTTTTCTTATAAATCAAAGGTACTTAAGATACTGTTTACGAAACTTGACAAGGAACTGCCATTTACATACCATTGCAAAATGCTATGGTGGTAGACGATTGCTCGCATTTTCTATTCAATATTCCAGTGGGAAATACTCAATCTTGCAGTGTAAATAATGGTAGTAGGCGAGTTTCCTGGCGATTTCTTCGATATGGCAAGGACATTTAATCATTCATCAACCGGTTGAGATACCTTGTAAGGAAGGATGGTGACGAGGCCACCTTGTTCGAAAACTCTCCTTTCTTTCGCAGATTTAAGTTTCTCGATTCCATGAGATATCGCTCAATGATCGGCAGTTTGTATGGGGAAATGTGTGTCGTAGCGAAGGATAAAATGACGTATGCCTATCTTCGCAACGTCGAATTACCTAATTACCTAATAGGCGACCGACTGCATGTCTCAACTCTCTAACTTAAGAGATCTGCGCGAGTAAATGTTTCTAACGGATGTAATGTGATGAATTGCGTGACGAAATTATCGACTTTTTCTCCGGGGAATAATCCCACGACAACTAAGAAAGGATGTGAATCGTGATAAAAGATGATGAAGATAGTTTACTTCTTTTGTGTTCGAATTTACCTAATCACTTTCAAAAATGATCTAACTTTTTTATTTTGTCTAGTATTATTTGATATTATTTCGTTTTTTTTTTAAATAAATAAATTGATGCGTAACTTACAATACATGTATGAATAATGTAATCATCCAAGAACAAATTTTGAATAAATTTGTAATAGATTGCCAGCGATAATTATGTATTGATGACGCGATATTACGAAACGATAACGATAGCGATGAGAGTAAAAAGTAGGTTTATATTTTTAGGCCCAGAGAAGTTTTTACCTCCTTTGATCTACCATCGACGATTAGCTCGATGTCTGGCAGCATTGCAGACTATTCTCGGCGTCGCAGTGATTTCTTTGTCATTATGGTTGTTGCTTTGGGCACCGCACCTGCCTATTATGGACAATCCATATTGGAGTGGCATGCCCGTAAGTGCAATAATTTTATACGGCGATTAAATTTGCATTCCATATCATGATAATGCAAGAATACAAAATGGTAATCCTCGCTTATCTAACAAGCTGAGTCTGCTAGAATAGGCACACTAACATATGGCTGCAATTAGACTTACATATGTATTATAAAATGATATAATCATGCTTTGTAATAACACAGATGTATTATTTTTTTATATATTATAATCGTATGTATCTAACAGTTTTAAGTCAAAGAGATTGTTTATTGGAACTAATCGTTATTTATTTGCTGTATCGGTTTTAACGGTTTTGAATATAATACTCCTTCAGATTTTTTATAAAACTTAATATTATTAAAAAGCTTAATCCTTAATTAATTAAAGGTAAGTGTGCAATAAAAGTAATCTTCTTAATAACAAAAATATTTTGCTTTTTTACAATATTTTTAATTTTATACAGTATTATTAATATGAAATAAAATTGTACAGAGTATCCCATTTTAATCTTCGCATCGAAATATCTTGTAAAAACAAAAATATTATGCATTTTACATATGCAACTATATGTTTTCTTTACTTCAATTTATTTATCTTATTATTCTGTGCAAACAAGTATAAAGGTATGATTATTATCAAAAGATTAATATTTTACGAGATATTTCATATTTCATGTTACAATAAAAAATAAAATATCTCATAAACTATATTAAGTTTTCGTTATTTACCTTAATACTTTTATATGTAGAATAATTAGTGGAATCATATTAGATTATAAGAAAAACCTTTTATTAAAAAAAATGACCTTCATGTAATCTTAATAAATCAATGTTCTTTGAAATTTATTTTTTAAGGTTACGTAAAGGTTATTCAATCCCCTTTAAATCAACTTTTATATAAAATATTTTTTGAAATCCTTTATACTTTTCAAAATATTAGATACAATAAGTTTAAAATGGGATATGTGTAACTTTAAACGCGTAAGTATATCTTACATTAACATTTTAAGTTGTAATATTTTCTTTTCGTTCAATTGTTTAATATTTTTTATTTCGATATTTTCAGCTCTTGATGTCTGGGAGTTTTGGAATTTGCCTGTTGTGCTGTTTTAAAAAGGAATATCCGACTTTGACTTCTGGATTTTGTCTTTCCGCTACAAAGGTAAATAAAAATTCTGATTCATTGTAGAGATTTCTTAGAGACACTTTCAAGACCGAATTACTTATTCAGCTCGTCTAATTTTTTATATTGTTAAAGCAGTACAAGATATTTAGCATTATTATTATATGTTGTTTTATAATAGTATATGTAGGTAATGTTTCTATTTTAATTAATTAAAAAAATTTTAATTGCAGAAAAGTATCAATTTTATTTATATGTTATTTGATTTATTAATTTTATTCTGATTTATTTCTAAAATAATTATTGTATATTACTTACAAAAATCACACTCTTTTTCTATGATGCTTACATCACGTTTCTTCATGATGAACAGGTAGTTAGCATATTTTTGGCAGTTCTGGCAACTATTGCATGTGTGAGTGCGTGCATATTCTCTGCAATACACTTGTCACGTCTTATGGGAATGGAATGCACTCCGGCACGAGTATTAAATGCTACGTGCGTATGCAGACCACGCGGCGAATCGCTTGACTCACTCGAAGGTGTAATCAGGTATTCCAAAAAATTGGACATAGATTGTTAGAATTACGTAACATTTTCTAGAACATCTAAAAAAAACCATAGAAATTGAAATATATACATATATCTTATATGTATTTCTGAACACAATCTTTATAAAAATTCGATTTTTTCGATCATTTCGACTTTTTCCTTTTTTTATCGGAAATCTATATTATATAAATATAACGAGTTTAGTAATAACTATATAATTTATGTAAAGATGTAAAAATGCTTTTAAAATAACAATGTGCATATTTTATTAGATACATCGATCTTAATTGTCCCGAAGTAGAAAGTATTCTGACAATCCTCCTCATCTTCTCATGCACTTGTAACGGATTAGGCGTCTTGATGGCGGGATGGTATAGCTATCTCCACTGGAGCACGCGATACAAAAGGCCAAAGTACACGCAGGTCAGGACCAATACCGTTTCCATGAACAATAAATCCAACAGTAGACCGATCTACAAATCGAATCTAGAGGAACGATGACGTTTGTATATAATGATCAAAATCTTTCCATTTTTATTGTGATCCATTGACATCTTCCGTATGATCACCATTGTGATCAATTATACATATGTACAAAAAAAATGTGAACAATTACACATTAATAAATTTTATTTTATACTAATTTAAGACAAAATCATTGAGATATACAAAACGTCAAAAATTATTTTTTAAATATTGATATATGAAAAGGAAAAAAGAATGTAATCTTCACAAAGATATGAGCAGAAAAAAATTTTTCGACAAGCTAGAATTGTCCTAATGTAAACAGTTGCAGTTTTATAAAAGAATAAAAATTAAGTATAAGTGTATTTATTATTAATGATTAATAATATAGATAATAATATTGATAATAATATTAATGATCATATTTCATTAATCAAATACGATAAGTATGATAAATATGTAAACTATAATGAGTTGGTATTTTATAGCTCATTAATTAACGCTCACCTTTTTTATTACGATGCTCAGTATTTGTTTAAACGTAATGTGTGTATTTATGTGTGCATGCATCTGATAGTGCGTTTATCTTTCAACATGAAAGAAGTTTGCAAAAAACGCAAAGACTATTGATTAAGTTACTTATATTAGAATTAAAATTTAAATAAATCTATAGAATACCTCAAGAGATTACCGAAATAATGTAATATTAAAAAAATGTTTGCGTTTAACTTTTTGTACGTTATTTTGGATGTGTTTAGTGAAATAATATTGAATAAAAATTGTCATGAATTAATGAAAAATAAATCTGTGGCAAGTAAATTTGATATAAATTATGCATAATGTTATTCTTACTTACTGCAACATCTAATCCCATAATTGCTTCAATTATCGAAATAATCATTAAAGTATTTCATGATAATGATGTGAAGAAATTATATGAAAAAAAAAGAAATATACGCTACAAAAATATATGCGACAATTCTATTTATTTTTACTATTAATATGAATTTTTTCTACAATATTATGTTTAAATTCACAATTTTATTCATAATTTAATATATTTATAAATTCACTAATATGTTTTGTGCACATTGCAGTTTTAAGTAAATTTTTATAAAAAATGTCATAAAAAATTTTACTTGTTTTTAATAAAACGATTAGCATGAATATTAATTATTAATATAGTTCTGCGTTTCTTATATGATTTTATAAAAAACCAAAAACAAAAATAAAAAACGTTACTTTCTATTTAATAAACACGTTATTGTTCTTGTGTTTGATGCAGCAAATTGAAAGACGAATATGACATCTTAAGTAACTGTAAAAAATTATAGATGTATTTATAAATATTCGAAATTTGCAGTCAGCAATAATTTTTATTTTAATTTGTTGATACTGACGGCTACGAACGATTCAAGATTCATCGTGATAATATACGCGCTACTAAATTCAATGGGAAACGTCGAACGTTTCATAATTATTAGTAGATTCTTTTTGTTGCTATTGCTAAGTTCCAGCCAATTCATATTATAAACACTATTCGCCAACTGAAGGCTCTATAAATAAAAACATGAAAACATTGCAAATTACAAGAAGGGAATATCATATATTTGTTTTAGTTCCTTTTCTTAATCACTTCTATCTCATTATTAATTTATCTTATGTCTTATTTAAGTTTAATGATAAAATTAATTTGTTTAAATGAAATATATATACTTTTAATTTGACTTCATTTCCAAACCAACAATAAATGAAAATCTGTGCCAACATGCAGCCTGTATACATTATCAATGGAATAAATTTCATATATTCATTTGCCATAGCCATTCGATATAAATTTGAGCACACCACCATCATGCTCACCCCGAATTGAACAGCAATTATTTTCGCGAACTTGTCATTTATCGTATGCGCATATCTGCGATTAAATAAAAAATTTTAAATATATTATTCTAAGTAATATAAATAATCTTAAATATAATATTCTATCTATTTCAATTATTTATTGTATTATCTGTGTTCACGTTAAATGTACTTAATGATCAATTATTAGAACAAGTGCAAAATATTTCTATATCAATCATAAAATTCAAATCAAAATTCTCTGAATCTGTGATATTTTACATATATTTATTAGCCAATAAAAGCTTTGAATATTTTTTTATTTTAATGAAAGAATATAAAAAAATTGTTATAAAAGAGATACTTTATATTTCACGTATTTCAAATTCAAGAAAAAGAAAATTATTCAATGAAACTAACTTAACTATATAATTGTGATGATTAATACAATCGCACAAAATATTTTGATTTTGATTGATATTTTTCAATCGATATTCCAATATCTCGAATTGACAACATATGTGCAGCAAGAATCCGCAAACCAAGCTCTCGCAAGCGACATTTACTAAACCGGAACATGACATGCCTATCATTTGGTTAGTATATACGAAAGTAAATGCAATTGGAGTTGAATAATCGAATGGTATCCATGCTCTGTATGTCAAGTTTCCTTTTGAAAGATCCATGAAGATAGATGATATAATTACTACGACAACCGCTGAACCTACGAGGATTAAATATCCCATCGCAACGTTCCTATATATAAAACCACAATTATATAATATCCACTCTTATTTGTTTTTTACTATTATAATATTTGTTTTTTAACTTTACTTGTTATTTTATTTTTAAATAATTTTTGGATTATTATAACTGAATTATCTTATTCTCTCATAATTATTATATCATAAATAAATTTATTTATCAATTCTTATTTAATTAATTTTTAATTTGTTTAAATATAAAAGTAAAGAATTTTTTGTGTAAGTTGTGAGATAAATTTATTTAAAGAATATTGTATAATGTTATAATTAAACATTACATGGATATATTTTATATATATATATATATGTGTGTGTGTGTGTGTGTGTGTGTGTGTGTGTGTGTGTGTGAGTGTGTATACTTACTGTATTCTTTTATCAAATTGCTGTCGAATTGTTATTTCGTGAAATTCATTTGGTTTAAAAGGTTTTTTGCGGAGAACGTTGATTAGCATTCTGACATTTTTATGATCTATCCATAAACAAATATTTTTATAACCCGCGACAAATACAGTCAACATCATATATAATGAATCGGTGAGGTCGTCAGAATTATTGACATACATTATGATGTTCATAAATTGGGATATTGCAAATATATTTAATGAAAGGACCAGAAACATTGCGTAAGTTTTGTAAATTATATGGTTCAACAAGGATGTCCATGAAGGCGGTTGCCAAAATCCAGCAATTGTACAGATAGTGAGAGTAAATTTCAGCACGTGCATTTGAACTGTTCTAATTCAATTTTTCCTACACAAATTGCTATTAATTATGAGACCTTTCAATGTAATAAATTTTGATTAAAATTAGTCGGATAGGTATAAAATAGCTAACATTGAATTTTCATGAAAATGAACGTAATTTTTGGAATGTTATAATTTGCATACCGTGATATTTAATGAAGTAATTCGTCAATAAACAGAGAGCTTGCTTATTAACTGTGCGACTATACAGAACAAGAGCAGCATAAGCAATACTCTGAGAATTTAAGATTGTCGACATAAACACTAAATTTGAACAGCAAATTAATTAAAACGTGTTAATTTGATGATAATTCGTGCACGATTACACCGATTAATATCTCCTTTTACGAGGATATTTGAGAAAACTGTATCATCAATTATGACAGATGTGTACGAAGTTTTAGTCAGATTCTTAGCTGCAGTTTATATTAGAAATTTAATATCCTTTATATTTTTGACATAATTATATACTGTTTATTATAATTGAAATGTCTCATTTATAAAGATTACATACACAAAGTAAATTTAATTTTATTATAGAAAATAGTATATATTATAGAAAATAATAAGAAAGCTCAAGAAATACTAATTTTCAATTTTATTTTATTTATAAGAAATATATTTTTGTAAAAACTTTTTTTATATATTCCTTTATGTAGTTTTCCAAATTAAATAAATCTCCTTTATGTAGATTTCCAAATTAGTTAATAAATAAATTATTTTGAATATAAATCCTTTTTTTAATATAAATTTTGTATATAAATTTTTGTTAAAAGTTAAACTTTTGGAACACGTATTACATTTTTATATTTTTTATACTTTAACTTACTGATGGTTAATTCACTCCTTTGTATTTATCCTGTTTGTCAAATATGTGCAAAATTAATTTATTAAATTGACACACAATTAAAAAAATAAATATGTAAGTCGTTATCTTAAGCAAAAACAGATAGAGCAAAGGATTACAAAGGATCGAGATACTCCGAATGTCTATGAGTCTTATGATTCTACTTTCAGTAGTGATGCTATTTGTAACCCTTAAAAATATGTCTTTGTCTTTATTTGGATTATTAACATAATGTTATATCTACGATAAATGCCAAAGAATATTTTGACGAACGAAAGCACAACGTTTTTACGAGATATATGTTTTATTGAAAAATTGCGTAATATATCCTGTTATTTTACATAGAGGTATAGAAGTAAGATAAATAATTCGGAAAAGTAAATTCCTAGAATTTTCTTTAATAAATTATTAGCCTTCAACTACTTCCACGATCGATATAGTTTTCTTATTGTACCTATGACAAAATACTTATTACTACCATATATTTTCGCAATATCAAGAAATGTATATCCTTAATATTAGTTAATAAAATAGTAATTGGTAATAAAATCTTAATACCAACCAGATACTCGATTTTGCATGATATATTTTTTTATTATCTTACAGTTTATAACTCGACTCTTTTGCATCGAGATGCAATACAAGTCAAAGTATAATTGAAGTAAGCCACATCAAAACGTTGTAAGTACCAAAATTGTGTATTTTATTATAGATTGTAAATATATATTGTATAGATGGATTGTAAATATTGTTCTCTCACATATTAATATCTAATGTGGAAAATCAAATATTGTGTACAAGCGAAGAAAAATGGCCGATAAGTATTTTTTTTTAATATGA